TATATTTTTTTATTAAAATATAATACTAAAAAATAATATCAAATCATAACACTAAACAAAAATCATCATCATTATATATATATATATATTAGAGTTTTATATAATTTTTAATGAGTATATTTTAGTTTTTTTGTTAAAACGTCGGAAACTGCTATCAAAACGCAAGTTAAAAGTTGCGATTAGAAAACACAAGTTTGACTGCGGTTGCGGGTGATTGTGGTTCAACCAGTTAATTTTTCAATCGTCTGCAACCGCGGAAATCGCAACCGCTCCGTTTACGGATAGCGACGGTGCAACCAGTCGTCCCCTTAGTTTGAGTCGCCCCCTTAGTTTGATGACATGAGAGTTCGATTATTTCGATTTAATTAGGTCTGTATTTAATTTTTATTGTAAAAAATTTATTTTTCAAAAACAATTATCAATTTTTTCTATTATTTTTTTAATCTTCGTTTCGGTTTGGTTTTAATTTTTCGAAATTTAAAAAAATTTTATATCACACTCGATTCGATTAAGGTTACGTGGATTCGGTTTGTTTTCTCTATTCACTTAATAACGAAAATGTTCACCTAATTGATAGATATTGTGTTCTTAAATTTTAGTCGCACTCTTTATATCCGTGCAAATGTACAATTTGGACCGTTTCTATCTATGATTGATATAATTATGTGTATATAAATATATGTATGTAGATCATTTACTCGATACTTACTCTCTGGTCCAATGTCAATACAAACATATTGCAAATCTTTTTTTTTTTGAATATTTATTTGAATCCGGAAAAAAAAAAGTGAAAATCTATTGAAGATTTTTAATTAGAAAATTCGTATAGGAAAAGGTCACATTTTGCAAAGTTGGTGTAGGAAAATGTCATTTTCCCTATATAAATATATGTATTGCAAATCTTCATTTTTTTTTTGAATATTTATTTGAATTCGGAAAAAAAAAAAGTGAAAATCTATTGAAGATTTTTAATTAACTTTCTAGCCTTTTTCTCGGCGCGTTGTTTAGTAACAGACTAGGCGACAAAAATGCTTTTCACCCTTTTAACTGTCCTCTCGCAGCAATTACATTACATGCTGGCCACTTAATTTAACCTTATGATTAGTGAAATCCACTATTATTATCCCTCCAAATATAATGATACCTATCCATTTTACGATTAACCTTTCACATATTCTGTGGATTTTGATAAATTATGAATACATATCAAATTAATCACACCAGAGCCACATATAATAAATTCTTCTTCTTTTTTTTGTAAATTTTTAAACTAAATTACTGAAATTTTAGCTATGGCAAAATTGACTATCAATATGTATACACACACAAAACATTGATAGATTAGACCAAAAAAACAACAATAATAATCAAAGAAAAAGTGAATATTATAAGTGTCCTAAGAGAGAACTAATATATTATATTTCATACCAAAAAAACTATTATATGCATACTATATTTTATATAAAATTTCACAAAAAAATGGTATTCGTTAAGAAAAAGCACTAGAAGGAATACAGAGACGTCCACCATACTCTATAATATCTCTACATCCTGTTTACAGTGCCGTCATAGTAGTCTCTCCAGACCTCTCTCTCTCTCTCTCTCTCTCTCTCTCTCTCTCTCTCAGTCACCGTCTCTCCCCTTTGTCATATTGGATTCCGTATTTGGGCCAATAATTTGATCTGAGCTTCTTCTTGGATCATCTCTCTCATCGGCAAAAGGAAAAAAAAAAGGATCTTTTTCACTGTGTGTGTGTGCAGACAGAGATTGCATCAACCGATCATGGCGGTTTTACTTCATCTGTTTCTCGTCTTCTCCATGATTTCCTATTCAAGTAAGCTTCCCTCTCTCCCTCTCTCTTCTTTCTTTTTTCTTCGTTTTTGTTTCCTTGTTCTTGGTTTAGCTGCAAATGGTTCAAGGGTTTTTCCTGGATCTTCATGTAGCTTTTTGCTCTGCTTGAAGCTTATCTTCTGCTAGTTTGCTTTTTGGGTTTTCTCATGGAAATTCCCCTTTTGTGTTCTTTGGAGATTTGTCTATTCGTCTCTCTAATCTTCGGTTGTGATAAAAATAGAAAATTTTCAGTGTTCAAATCACTCTTACCTAACAGAAAAACCTCAATCTTCTGGAATGGTAAGAGTGATATCATAAGAAAAAAATGGAAAAAATAACAGAAATTTATCTGTCACCGTATTTCCAAAAAAAAATCTCTCTCTCTATGATCTCAAGCTTAAAGAAAACAACTTTATCCACCATTTCCAGAAAGAATTAGTTGCCCTTGTTCAAAATCTGGAATTTTTAACTGAACCCGCGAATCTAATGTCTGTTTCGGACACGGCAGACGCGGCGTACTGTGTATGCAAAGACGGTGTAGGGGAAGCAGTTCTTCAAAAGGCCATAGACTACGCATGTGGAGCAGGAGCTGATTGTACTCAGATCCAACAGAACGGTCAGTGTTTCCAACCCAACACCGTCAAGAGCCACTGTGACGTCGCCGTCAACAGCTACTACCAGCGCAAAGCCTCCTCCGGTGCCACCTGTGACTTTAGCGGCGCCGCCGTCCTCACCAACTCTGCTCCTTCCAGTAATCAGAAATTTACCCTTCTGTCTATAAAAACCAGATCTTTTGATTTCGTTTGCTAATTTTATCCCTCTCTGTTGATCTTGCAGCCGCTTCAACCTGTTTATCTGGTTCCGGGTATGTTATATCAGAACTTTATTTCAGCTTTAGCCTGATGATTGCTCCGGATAGTTGTCTTTAAGCTGTTCTTTTGCAAGCTTTTTTGAGTTGGTAAGAGGTCTGATATAGACACAAGGAAATCATTCTTTTGCATCTGCTAGGTCTGGTTCTTGAGCTCTAGAAGTTGATTTGTGCTCTTCTGGGTAGATACATCTATCAAATGGGGGATTATGATCATTGTACCATGTCTGAAATGGGGATTATGAATGATCATCATACCATGTCTAAAAAGATCAAATATTATCTGTCAAACTATCAACATATTATGAATTTTCCCTGTTTATTGATTGTATCGGATATGATTGATTGCTGTTTTACTTGTTTGCTTCTACAGCTCATCCGGAACTCCAACCACTGTGGGTCCGACCACAGGTACTCCAACCACTGGGACCCCGACCACTGGAACTCCGACCACCGGAACGCCTACAACCGGGACTCCGACCACAGGAACACCGACGACTGGAACGCCAACCACAGGAACGCCGAACACGGGAATGCCCACCACTGGAACTCCGACAATGGGCACTCCAACCACTGGGAACCCAACTTCATCTTCTTCGTCTGTGTTTCCGGGCACGACCCTTGGTCCCACGGGAAGCGGCGGCTTGGGTGATCCGAGCGCCGGAGAATCTCTCTCCTCTGTCCAAGCAACCACTAGCACTGTCTTCTTGCTAACCGTAGCTGTGCTAATGTGGGTCTAGATGAGAGATCTCAGTCAGTTGCTGTTTTTTTATCAACCGCTGATAGTTTACCAGTGGGATTACGCAACGGTTATATATCTCTCTTTCTCACTTTCTCTCGTAGGGTTTGAAGGAATTGGAACGGCAGAGACGACACGCTTCTTTTTCTCTCTTAGTATTTCTGGGCTGTATAACCTAAAAATCAAGAGCTTTTTTTTTTTTTTTTGTATATTCTGAGAATGAGATGCTCTTTGTTTGCTGTGCTCTTTTATGTTGTCGAATGCGCATATCATCATCCTTCCCATCAGTGAATCCCGCATGATTTACAAGTGGGATTTGCATAACTAATCAAAACCCATCTTTTTATGGTAAATGCTGCAATGGAAAGGCGCATCCTTTATCCAGAGTTCCATCGGGAAAGACGGTTGCTTTTCTGAAACGGAGTGTTGTGTTGTAAACGCGTTTAATTTGATTCCTGCGCGGCTGGTGGAGAGATTCACTTTCCCGGAAAATTCGAAGGATTCTCTCACCTTTTTCAACGTCAAAAATTTCCAAAACAATACGCGCAGGCAGGAAGAGAATGACGCTATCTACGTTTTCGGTTGGTGGTCTGGAGAAAGAAATATCTCAGAAGCAGAACAGATATTTCTGCTCTGTTCCATTTTCTAACAGAGCGAGTTCGTAGATTCTCTTGGGTTTGTTTCATTTAGATCATTGAAGCTTTGAATCGGATACTGCTCCGTAGTGGGGAAGAAGAATCTGATTCCTATCGACCCGTTTCGTCATCTGTCGAATCTCTTGCTGATTCCGAAATTGGTTACTTTTTTCCGTAGTTTGGATTGAAAAGACGATCGCTTTCCATTGGTTCAAACCCGGAATGATCGCTGTTAGAAGATGAATTCAGAATCATGAAAACGTTTTTTTACAAACATGGATTAGGCGCTGAATCTGGGTTTTGAAGTAGTTGGTTCTTCATGGCGTGTCTGTCTATTTATGGCGTTCCACGTGGCGATTTATTACAGGAGGATGGGTTTGAATTCCTTATTTTGAGATCATCATCGTACAGGAGGAATTCCATTCCAACATCAATTCCGAGGGAAATTTCAGTTAAAAAGGATGGCGCGAAAAGCAGCCATTTTTGGCTAAGAGTTGATCCCGCAATAGTGGGAGCACCTTCGGTCGGAAAATCTGGGGAAAAAAAATCATTGAAACTGTAATTTTCCTTTTTTTTTTCTCTGGGCTATTCAAAAGATTATCCCTTTCTTTTGGTTTCGTGTTCAAAGATTCTTGGTTGTTGCTGTCTCCAGATTATTTCTACAACTTTCAGATATTCAGAGATCCATTCGTCTGTTGAAGTCGAATTTCTCCGACATCTGTTTGATCGTCTGAGAATATTCTACCATTTTGTTCTCCTGGATTCAAGAGAAGAATCAAGAGGATTACGAGGATTGCTGTTGAGGGTGAAGTAAAGGGCACCAAGAACTAGGGTTCGTCGGGAATTTCATGGATATCCATAGGCATACGTAAGCATATATTCTGTTTTACATTTTTCATAAGGATTCGATCATTCATGATATGAAATGCGAAGGATGGATTAAGTGAAGAAAATCTCTCATTTAGGAAACATATACAGATTTACCATGCAACTTCGATTCCAGAAGCCTCATGGGATCATAACGTGAACTTGAGCATGCCCTTTCTTGTGTTTTACGTAAACAATTTCAAGGAAGATTAGGGTTTTGATTTCTTTTTTTTGGGAACTTTCTAGTATATGGAACCGAATCACACGAAGAAACACAGTCATGGATCAAGCAGAAGCAAAGGAAGTAGGAGTGGAAGTGATGGAGATGGAGAGTCAACGGCCAGAGAAAGGAATGAAAAGAAGAGTCTGTTCCAGATAGGAGGGGGCATTCCCAGCTTCGAGGATATCAATGATCGTCTCAAGAAAGATACAGAAGCCATCCATGGGATACAGATCTCCATGGGGTCCACATCCCCATCCCCATCATCATCATCATCCCCATCACCATCATCATCATCATCGGATGACATGATAGAGCTGAAAGCAAAGCAGGATACAAAACCCCATGTATCTTCAGGATTAGGCCAATCACAAGGGTCCCCAGACAATAAAACACCGAGATTTCGAGTGTCTGTCCAGACAAATGCATCGGCATGGCTTCCTCCGTTGTCCCCGACAAAGTCACCGCCAGTTCAAGTGATGGAAAGGGAAGGATACGATCCACAGAGAATACCGTCATCCATATTCGAAAAGAGTGAGGCTTTGGATTGGAGTGCAGCTTCGAACGAGTCGCTGTTTAGTCTAAGGATAGGTGATAACTTTCTAGCAAGGGATCAAGACTTCAGTCTAGCGAGGATTCGTGACATCAGTCTAGCAAGGGATAATGTTTTTTCTTACAGCGACTTCAAATCTGAGGAACTTATAAAATCGGGCGAGCTTTTAGCTTACTGCCCGTCTCTTCCTATTCATATCGAGGATTCAGAAGGGAAGACCTCTGATGCCGAGGAGGAGGAGGAGGAAAGGAATGGAGAAGCTGAGACAATCATGGAGACTGAATCAGAAGCGAAGTCATCAATGCCGATCCTTTCATGGAGGGACCTCAGTGAATTAGATCATAATTCAGACCGAACCCTAAGCCATTCGAATAACTCAGATCAAAGGCCGACAAGTTTGCAATCTTTTTCATCTCCGGAGTAAGTATGTCTCTTTTGAACAAACCCGCCTGGTTCATGCTTCTTATAAGGTAATTCCATCTTTTTCTAAGCGTTGTTAGTTTCTCGCCCAAAATTGCAGAAGGAAAAAGAGCGAGAAGAAAACTAAGACAGCTACAAAGAACATCAAGAAAAAGAAAAAGAGGTGTTGTTGCTGCTGCTGCTGCTGCTGCAAGAACTGTCGGACATGTCCATGTCCAAACAATGGCTGTTTCTCGAGCTGATAAAAAAAATACCTAGTTTTAAATTTAAATAAATTGTGCCTCTTCTCCTGCCGCCATTGTTGCAGCAGATGGAGGTCGTGCTGTTATGACTGCTTCTGCTGTCGTTCTTCCTGCTGCTATTCCAGGTACAACCATTTCTAGTTTCTTCCGAGACTGATTCTGTTTTCTTTTCACATGATTCGATCTCCTTCTTCTGTTATGTTCTTTGAACGATCTTATAGTAACTTGTAACTCAAGCAAATGATTCAAATTATGCCGTTTGTCTGGTCTCCTTTGATTGGATTCATTGCACAAGTGTTAATGGGGAAATAAATATGTGGTAAGAGAGTAAAATTAGATTTTGAGATATTATTGGAAATAATAATAGATACAATATTATTATATCAAATATTGTGTATTTGATTTATTTTCATTGTATTTATATTTCTTTTTTATCTCTTTTGTTAATATTTTTTATAAATATATAAATTATTTTCATTGTAATTTAATAAAAAAAAATAGATGTAACAATAAAATTAATTCTGTTATTTTATCTTTCGGTTCTTTTTTATTTATTTATTTATCTTTTATATTTTATTTTTCAAGTTAAATCTGACATTTGAACAGATAGGGACAAAGAGCATAAAGAAGCACAGCGCAAGTACTGGTTCTTGTTGCTTAGATTTAGATTACGTACTGTCAAATGATAACAAATTTACTAAATATGTTCACATAATTTTATTTTGTTTGTAACTCATCTGGATACTAAACAGTTCAAATTAAGAATATATATATATATATATTAAAAGGATTACAGACAGCTCAGAAGGTCATGGGAGGCACCCAAAACGTATCCCCAAAATTTGTAATCCACTTTATATTATTTTTTAATATCTAATAATATATTTGTAGATTTTCCCCTTTGATACTGACATTTATCTTATAATTGATTGTTTACATCTATCTATGCAAACAGTTGTAACCCTGTTACGGGAAATATTCCAGAAAATAAAAATAGTTGTAACCCTATTTGTTGACAACGACGGAGGCGTTGGAGATTTGGTTTGCAATTTCGGTTTTTGGCGAAACCCGAGAAAAAGAGAATTGATTTCAATTAAACCGAGAAGGTCAAAACGCAGCGTATCAAGAACGGGGCATTTTAAACTTGTATACGGCATGCTCCCTTCCATTTTCCGTTCCGTTTTTAAACTTAAACAACGCCGTATTTTTTACGTCATCTTGACGCTAATTTAACCACGTCTCCGTAGGGAAAACAAAGTTAAAATCTCAGATCCTTACGTAAAAAATAAAATTGGAAAATAATACGATTCGGAATCTAATAATGGACCAAAAGTGGGTCCCACTCAAAGGTGTAGTCTAGCAAGAAGCCGCCATGTGTTGACCTTGTGACCCATGAATTGACTTGTCGTGGGCCCCATCTGACTTGTCTCCTTTCCAACAAAATTAGGGACAACTAAAATTCCGCCTCTGTTCCCAATTAAATAAATATCCTTTTAAATCCTTCTGAGTCGGACACCGGATATCAGAACGTGTCTCAATCTATAGAGCGGACGAAAACGATATCAGAACAGCATCACAGATCTGAGAAAATTTATCGTCCTACGCAATAGACGGCAAATTACGTAGAGCAGATAAATCAGTCTCGTAAAACTGACCGGTTTAAGGAAAATTTAAATCACAATTTTTTTTATGAGTATTGATCTGATATATATATATATAACACAAATTTGAGAAGAAAATGGATATATTAATTGAAACTCCAGATATTTTATTTTATTTTTATATATGTTAAAGATGTTAAAATATACAAATTCAAGATTTTGTTACATGGGTTTTCATATAATCGAGTCTTTTTTGTATGATATGGGTGTATCCGTATTATACTTTAAATTCCTATATTATTGCGAAAGTTAATGAAAAGTAGATGATTTTTCTGAATTTTTTTTTTAAAAAAATGTCTAAAGTTCAAAGCTCGTCTCTTTTACGATAGTTTTGTGGAAATTATTTCCTTGTTTGACTATTTCCATTACATCAACAGCTTCGCCTTTCTTGGTTATCGGGCAGGGAACTCTGGTTCTTTAATGTCGTTTTCTTCTGGGTAAAACATTAATCTCTTCCTTCCAATATCGGATTCGGACAGAGGGGGAAGAGAAAAGTTTTGATTTTCGCGGGGATCTTTGGGAAGAGGAGATTTGGGTTTTTGACTTTCGCCGGGATTAATTTCCTGCGGAGAAAATGAGGAACAGTCTTCTCTGGAAAACCATGTTCTGGGTCGTCTTGTTTTCGCTTTCATTTTCCCGGAAAGTGCTTTCCGGGAATGTTTTCCATGACAGAACTGTTCTGCTGGAGCTGAAGAGAAGTTTCACCGATCCAAATGGGATACTCTCGAGCTGGGATTCCGACAGCTCAAACCACTGTTCTTGGTACGGTGTCTCCTGCGACTCCAAGTCAAGGGTCGTCTCTCTGATTCTCAGAGGCTGCCGCCGTGGGGATCAAGGTGGTTTTGACTTTGCAGATTTACCTTCCTGTTCCCTTAGATTAGGAGGTGAAATCTCGTCGGCTGTCGGTAAACTTGCTGAAATTAGGGTTTTGTCTCTTGCCTTCAACTATTTGAGCGGTGAATTACCTGAGGAGATTTGGGGATTGGAGAAACTGGAGGTGCTTGACCTTCAAGGTAATAGCTTTCTCAGGAAATTTCCAGGGAGATTTTCTGGGTTGAAGAGAATCGGGGTTTTGAATCTAGGGCTTTATCAGATTCCATCTGAGAATATGCTTGTGCCGCTGATTCTGGCTAAGGACGAGATTCTTGAATCGTCTAGGAACAGAATCAAGCTTCGAAAGCTTATGGAATCCGATGATGGAGATGAGAACCCTAAAAACAAAATGGGTCCGAATCCGGACACCGAAACGGGCCAATCTCCGCCTGGTAAAGACGGTTTGTACCCGATAGAGATCGCTTCGATCGTGTCAGCTTCAGTCATTGTCTTTGTCCTTCTCGTACTCGTCGTCTTGTTCATCTACACGAGGAAATGGAAGCGGAATTCTCAGGTTCAGGTAGCCGAAACGAGGGAGATCAGAGTGTTTGTGGACATCGGAGTTCCTCTAACGTATGAGAAAATCGTTAGGGCAGCAGGTTACTTCAGTAACTCGAACTGCATCGGCCATGGTGGCTTTGGTTCCACATACAAAGCCGAGGTGTCTCCAAACGTTGTAATTGCCGTCAAGAGGCTCTCTGTCGGGAGATTTCAAGGGGTTCAACAGTTTCACGCTGAGATAATGACGCTGGAAATGGTTAGACACCCGAATCTCGTTACCCTAATCGGGTACCACGCAAGTGAGACCGAGATGTTCCTCATTTACAATTACTTACCCGGTGGAAACCTCGAGGATGTCATCAAGGAAAGATCAGAATCCAATCTCGACTGGAAGATCCTTCACAAGATCGCGTTGGATATAGCCCGAGCCCTTGCCTACCTCCATGACCAATGTTCTCCCAAGGTTTTGCACCGAGACATCAAACCGAGCAACATACTTTTGGACAACAACTACAATGCGTATCTGTCTGATTTCGGGCTGTCCAGATTGGTGGGAACTTCGCAGTCCCATGTCACAACAGGCGTGGCTGGAACATTCGGGTACGTGGCTCCAGAATACGCAATGACATGCCGTGTTTCTGAGAAGGCGGATGTTTACAGTTACGGGATAGTGCTGCTCGAGCTGATATCGGAGAAACGGGCGTTGGATCCGACGTTTTCTTCGCAGGAGAACATCGTGTCGTGGGCACATACGATGTTAAAACAAGGCAGGGCTAAGGATGTTTTCGCGAAAGGGCTGTGGGATTCGGGTCCACAGGACGATCTAGTCGAGGTTCTGCATTTGGCCCTCAAGTGCACTGTCGATAGCCTCTCTACTCGACCGACCATGAAACAGGTGGTTCAGCATCTCAAACATAGCCAGCCCTCTAAATGAACCCAAATGTCTGACCCCCATGGCTCTCCTCTGAAACAGGCGGTTCAACATCTGACACAGAACCTGCCCCTCTGAATGAACCCAAAGGTCTTGCCATAGCTGTAGCCCGTTTAGAGTTCAGATCAGAAGTCTCTCTTCTACAGCGGGTGTTTGCTTTTTTTTTCTTTTTTTTTTTTTTGCTTGTCTTGTTAGTGTTATTGTTCTTGGCAATGTGCTTGATTTAGAAGGGGAAAAAAAAAACTTTTTCCAATTTGGAAGATATAACCCTTACATTAGAACCAGAAACTTAATCTGCTCAAGTACACTGCGTAGGTTGTTACATTCTGATGCAGACTAAAGATTAGGGACAACTAAAATTCCGCCTCTGTTCCCAATTAAATAAATATCCTTTTAAATCCTTCGAGTGGGAGACCGGATATCAGAACGTGTTTCAATCTATAGAGCGGACAAAAACGATATCAGAACAGCATCACAGATTTGAGAAAATTTATCGTCCTATGCAATAGGCGGCAAACTACGTAGAGCAGGTAAATCAGTCTCGTAAAACTGACCGGTTTAAGGAAAATTTAAATCACAACTTTTTTATGAGTATTGATCTAATATATATATATATATATATATATATATATATAACACAAATTTGAGAAGAAAATGGGTATATTAATTGAAACTCCAGATATTTTATTTTATTTTTATATATGTTAAAGATGTTAAAATATACAAATTCAAGATTTTGTTACATGGGTTTTCATATAATCGAGTCTTTTTTGTATGATATGGGTGTATCCGTATTATACTATAAACTTCCTATATTATTGCGAAAGTTAATGAAAAGTAGATGATTTTTCTGATTTTTTTTTTTTAAAAAAATGTCTAAAGTTCAGAGCTCGTCTCTTTTACGATAGTTTTGTGGAAATTATTTCCTTGTTTGACTATTTCCATTACATCAACAGCTTCGCCTTTCTTGGTTATCGGGCAGGGAACTCTGGTTCTTTAATGTCGTTTTCTTCTGGGTAAAACATTAATCTCTTCCTTCCAATATCGGATTCGGACAGAGGGGGAAGAGAAAAGTTTTGATTTTCGCGGGGGAGAGAAATAAGAACTCTCTATTCATGTACATGTCCGGAGGTAAATTGTACGGTGTTAAAATCACCGGCCAGTAATTCGGACCAGACATCCCAAATGGAATAAATTCATCCATGCATAATGCCAGGTATACGTTTCTAGATTCGCTTGCAAAACCAGGAAATAACCGTTGCAAGTATTTCCAAGCCAAAGCATCGGATGAATGATGCATTTCTTCTTCGGGCGACGAATGTTCAACATGCCACCGCATATGCGATGCTGTCTTCTCGGATTGATATAACCTTTTCAAACGGTCTGTTACAGGAATGTAAAACATTCTCTTCAAAGGAATCAACTTGCCTTTCTTTGAAGATTTTCGGCGTGGGTCATATCTGCCTTTTCCACAAAAACGACATTCCATCAATTCTGCAACTTCTTTCCAGAAAATCATACAGTTATCTTCACAAACATCAATCTTTCGGTAAGGTAGACCCAATGTACGCATCAGACTCTTTGTCTCATAATATATTATATTGCAGTGTTACCTTCTGGAAGATACTGTTTAAACATCTGGATGAATCCGTCCATGCATCTCTCTGGAAGATTATAGTCAGTCTTCATGCTCATCAGTTGTGAAGACAACGATAATCTTGAAAGTCCTTGTACGCTTCCTTCGTAAATCAGAGTATTCGCCGTGTGAAGCATGTCATAAAATCGTTTTGCTTCAGCATTGGGTTCTTCCTCCATACACGGAGAAGGTTGCACCACTCACCATCTCTACGTATGGATTCCTTTCTTCTTCTTCAATGATAGCAGGTTGCACCACGTGAAGTTGTTCTTCTGGGTCATGTGATGATGATATGACGTATCATACATTTTTCTATGAGCGAGCCAAACAAAATAGTTGGACATGAACCCTCTCCTGTAAACGTGATTCCACACTTCATGTTGAGTTCGCCATTTTCGATTCTCACACTTCGGACACGGGCAGGGCAACTTCGAATTCTCAACATACGACATTTGACTTGTTGCAAACGCCATAAATTGCTTTAATCCCTCTTCAAACTCTCGAGATATTTGATTATTGGACAAATCAATTCGCCCATACATCCATATTCTTGAAGAAAAAAACATTTTTTTTCTGTGATTTTTTCTTTATTTCCTTTTCTCATACTCTAGCAACTGTCGGTCGTGGATATTTATAATTAAACACATCGACATATTTGCGACAGACATATTTGTCGTAACAAAGATTACGACAGATTTGCGACAACATTGCTATAGAAATTAGGTGGCACACAAAACACATTTGTAACTACCTTTGCGACAGTGTCAGTGTTGTCGCCAAATTGTCGCAAAGTGATTACGATAGATACATTTGTCACAAATTCAGTCGTTAAATAACAACATACAGACTATCGCAAAATGTCGGTCGCAGGTTGTCGTCAACTATCATAAAAACTTGGCGATAGATGTTTGTGTCGTAATCTGTCGGAAAGTTCCAACAAAACTTGCGACAGAGTGCGACAGGATTCAGATTTCGATTTTCAGTCGCGTATCTGTTGTAATCTGTCGCATATTGTTTGCGGCAGATTAACTGTAATACCCCGAATCAAGATTCGAAAATTTTAATTAGTTTCCGGAAAAAGAAAAATTCGATCGACGAGTCTTAAAGACCTTAAAAATGGACCATAAAGTATCGGGACAAGGTCCGGGAATCACCACATGTGAAAGAGACGAGAAAACGATGAAAAACGGGAAACAGGACGTCTGGACTGACCGGTCTAAGAGGCAGACCGACCGGTCCAGCGTGACAGACACATGTGCAAATCCAGCTCGAGTTGCCGACTTCAGACAGGCTTTTCTCAGCGCGTGGGGTACCAAATGACGTGTCGTGACCACCCCCGGACCCTCCACGATGCAGACTTTACAGTGGGAATGAGCTAGTGCTCATGTGACTCGTCCTTGTCGATGAAAAACCTCTGAAAAGATGGCACCTCAGCCATTTTTCTCTGCAGAAGAAGAACCTAGCAGAAAGAGAAGAAAGAGAGAGAGAGGAAGAGAAAGAGACTGAGAGAAGAGGAAGGGAGCTCGGGGAAGCACAGAGGGACAACCTTAGAAGGTCTGGAAGGATCATCGGCATTGGAATCACCGGAAAACACCATGAACTCCAGCCAAAATCAGATCCGAATCTGATTAATTTGAGTGGCTCGAGTTGCCTCTGTGTGAGCTCATTTTCATCATTGTTATGGTGTTAATTCGATGAACCTGGACATGATTAGAAAGTGGAAGTTGCAATGAACACATAGAAACAAACGGAACTCGATTTGGTGAAGAAACGAGTAAGATATGAAAATTTGAAAATCGAAGAAAAACTGTAAATTTCATAGAAGAACACAAACTTGTTCTAATTCCGAGACTTTCGGGTCATTACCCAGAAAATAGGTGTGATAATTGAATGAATTGATGGTTAGAATCAAAAGGGGACATTTCAGTGAACATTTAGAAACAAATGGCGCTCAATTTGGACAAGAAATGAGTAAGTTATGAGCCAACGAAGTCGTACCGAAATCTGGGACGAAATCGCGAAATCACGATGTCTCCAGGCTCTAGACCGATCGGTCCAGACCTTGAAAATGCCTGAAATGCCCGAAAATGCCTGGACCGACCGGTCCAGACCTCGGGAATGCCTGGACTGACCGGTCCAGACTAGAAAATTGATAAAATTGAGCCAAAAACGTCTTGGGATGAGATATAACCCTTGGATCGACCAAACTATGTGAAAAATGAGTCGGAACAACGACAAAACATAACAGGGAAGAATCTGAATAAATCAATAATTTGAATGCGTGGTGAGATGTGCGACATACACCGAGTGAATCGTTGTATGATGAGTGGATTTATTTCCGATGGGTCACGAGAAACAAAGACGAAGCCGCCGCCGTCGCTCGGCCCCGACCCGAACCAGAATCCTCCTGGTTCTTGCTGCTTCGAAGCTTCTCGTTCCTTCTTCTCTTCGCCGCCATTCTCCTTAACGTCTGCATCTCCTTCCTCTTCCTCCACTCCTCCTCCGTCTCCACCGGCAACGATGTCGTCCTCGTCAAACCTGTGCTTCGCGCCGCCGACGAGGGACAACCCTCCGTCGTCACTGCCTCCTTCTCCGTATTCCCCGCCGTCGCTGCCGTCGGCTTCTCCTCCCGGCAAATTGGCATCGTTCCCACGACCGAGGACGATCTCGTTAGCTTGTTCAGACCAGTACCGGTCTTGTCGATCCCGAATCTGCCGCCGAGAGACAAACCCAGATTGAGTTCGATCTTGTCTTCGTCATCTTCGTCGTCATCTTCATCATCATCATCGGGTTCAGAGGAAGCAGGGATGAAACTCTGAAGAAGATCTCTGGGGAAGAAAGAGGTGTTGGTCGACGCCATTTCTCTGCTGCTCTCTACTCTTTTTCCTTTGTCTGATTCAGCCATTTCTGGTTTTAGAAGAGATGAAAAGAAAAAAGAAAAAAAAAATACAGAGAGACAAAAAAAAAATGTTTAAGGAAGGTGATGTAACAGTAATGACCAGATTTTGATCCAACCCATATCCAAACCAGCTTCCATCTTATAATTTTTTTTTTATGGTAATTATTTCACAAAACTGGGCAGACAATGCGAATGCTGCACTAAACATATAACTCCTTTTTTCAAATAAAAATACATGGGGGATAAATAAATAAGGGAAGAAAATCAAATTTCCTCATACGGATGATTCTGTAAAATTCAATTCAATTCAATTATTTCCCTAAATTCGCATAGAAACCCATTAATAAAATAAATAAATAAATTGCATAAAAATTTTCGTCATAATTAGACTCTGGTATAGCCAAAATAATAATAACAATAACTGTATACTGTTTTTTTACATATATAGGACGTCGTTTATACTTTATACGATAAGATCTGCTCTCCAACAACATTTTTTATTTTTATTTTTATATAGGGAGCTGATAAGTTATCCTAGCAAAATAGGATAAAATAATATAGCTTTATTTTATTAATAATTAATGTACCTAGTTAGAAACACCTTCTATTTTCAACAAATAATTAAAATCCAAATATTTCTTCATAGTAACTGAAATTTCAGATATTTGCTCAAATTCCAAATAACTGTAGTCTGTGAATATTTGTATAGAATATTCAAAACCATTTTAAAAATAAAACGATCAATGATTTCAATATATAAGAATAAATTGAACCGAATCAAATAACTATATTAATTAAATTATAAAATAATTAGATATAAGTTCAAAATTAATTGCATAATTTCATTCAATCAGATATAAAATAATAAATGTGAAAAAATAGGATATTGAGACCGAGCATATCTATCATTTCTCAATATAAATGAGAATGACAAGAATACCCCTGCACAGTGATTCGTCGAAAGGCCGAGAGAAAGTAGCTAAGGGAGAGGAGCCACGTGGAGATCAGGTAATCCCTCGTTGTGACACGTTATGTACGGTATCCCTTATTTCTAATTTAATTAATTTATTTTATTTTTATTATTTGTTATTATTATTTTGTCCTTGTCACCCACCCAACCTTTTTTAGGCCCAATTATTTCTCTACACTTTTCCTTTATTATTCTTTTGCTAAAATGTTTACACAAAAATAATAATATTAATAGTATCTTCTTGTGGCCATTGGGTGATTTGAAAGGACACGTGTCCACGTCAGCGTCAAGAGACACGTGTCATACTGTAGGGTAAGGGACACGTGTGTCCCCGTTTAGTTAGTCAGAGATGCCTGTTATAAAGATAAGGAATATTTCATGTAATTTTCAATACGGTATTTATGAAGTGTACACATATGCATGATTCAAGTATGCGAACGCTTGCACAAAACATGTATGTATAAATGTATGTATGTATGTATGTATGTATGTATGTATGTATGTATGTATGTATGTATGTATGTATGCGTCTTTTGCGTACTTGTAATTGTCTACGGAAGGATACTATTTCACTAACAAAAATATGTGGGTGTCTAACTCATGCAATAATATTGACAAAGAAAGCGCACACAAATATATATATATATATATATACACGTACGTTTCATATAGTAATACAATTTATAATTGAAAGTAATAGTAAACTTACTATAATTTTTAGGGATAAATTTAAATTTATTATGATGGTATTTAACAATTTTTATTTAAGATTTATAAAATTTATAAAGAAATTATGTTTTTAATCAGGGACATAGGACTCCGTTGTTAATGAACTGGATCCACCTTGTTGTCACACATCTAGATATATATAATCTTGTTTTGTAATTATATTTTAGTTTTGTTAGTTTCATATATAAAATACTTGTTGTTGTCAGGATCTAGAAATACTTGTTAGTAATAATAAATTTACTATAATTTTTAGGGATAAATTAAAATTTATTATAAGGGTATTTAACAATTTTTATTTGAAATTTATAAATTTTATAAATAAATTAATTTTTTTAATCAAGGGACATAGGACTCCGTTGCTAATGAATTGGATTCGTCTTATTGTCACATATATATATATATAGGTTAGTAAATATAGTTTGTGATTGCAATTTTAAATTAGAGGATGTACGATACCAACTAGTAAATTATTAATCAAGCATCCATAGACTCTCAGACTACTGAATTATTTCATCCTATGCATCACTAATTTTCAATGAAACACTTTTTTTTGTCTTTATATTATATAGAAGCAACTTATTATTATTATACGAATTTATACTAATAATAATAATTAGTTAAGGCCGTACCAAATGGCTGGGAGCGTGGTCCAGGCGCGCCAGCGAGAAGTCTGGGGACCGGTCACAACGCCGGAGTACCCAGATAGTAAATGACGATAATACCCCCTCTCCCAGTTAATATATTTTATTTTTTGAAAAAAAATTATTAAGTGTTTTGGAAAAATACAAGCAACGTGAAGGCATGTCAGAGTTTCAGACAGGCTACACGTGTCATAGTAGGTATGGTGATACTTGCGTGTCCAACTTCGTATCTCCATTTTCCCCCAGATTATACTCCACGTTTTCCAATTCCACTCCTTCTTTCTCTAATTATTATTTATTATTATTATACAGATGAATCGTATGTACCATAAATAATATTTTTTTGGTGTTGAAGTTGGACACGAATTTTAATTTCATTTATTTAAATCGGGTAAAATTTTTCACGTTGGTGGTCTTTTTTATTTTTCTTTTGTTGCCATATGGAAAAATATGATTGAACTTAATTTGAAACACTAAGCAAAACACAGCATCATCATTGAAGTGTTTTTTTTTGGGGGGGTGAAAAAGAGAACAGGGCACATTGCCACGTTTCGTAAGGAGGAGACATGCATAATTCGTGTATCGGGAAAAAGTATGGTCGTGCGAAAGAATTTTATCACTTTTGAAAAAAAAAATCTTATTTTTATTATTATTGATTTATAATGTAAAAAAAACAAAGCAAAGGTTGGTAAAAAAAAAAAGAGCACATTTTCTGTTAGTGATATTTGGCGGTCGAAGGCGAATCCAACTCGGTGAGTACTCCCTTTGTTTTCTTAATAATTGACGTTATACATGAAAAAAATATTTTTTTTAAAATAGTTAGATTTTTTAGGTAATTTTTTAAAATAAAATTCAATTTTATTATTCTCTTTAATGGGCTGTAACTATACAATTTAGCTGCATAAAATAGGAAACTTTATATTTGTTTATGCGGATTCTTCCTTTCTCTTTCATGTCATCTCTTCATTCCTTTATTTATAAGCTCCCTTTCCAAGTCATATATCCTTCCATACTTTTGCATCCTAGAGCATGTATCTTACGTTTGAGAGTCGTGCATGCCATGCAACATTTCTTCTTCGTCCAAATGTTCATTATTGTTGTGTCTTGGATTATATCTTGATAATGTATTAATCTCAACATTAACAAAAAAAAAAACATGTTTGGGGTAGATGGCAAGTTAACGATTAAGAACACGTAGCTACAATAAAATATTATTCTTATAGATGCATGTGAAACATAGTTTACATAAGTTTGATTGTCGTGTTATCTCTAAAGTTTCGATTTTATTGGAGTACGGCGAATTTCTAGGATACAATGACAGCATATTCGGGAAAATCTTTTCCGAATACCAAACAAAGTGAGAGAGGTATATGAGCTTAGTTCGAAACAAAACCACTCGGAGCGCGTCTAGACGGTCGAGGCGCAGATGTGCTAGAGAAACCGCATATCCATTCAGAGGCAATGCGACAGACATGAAACGGACAGAGGCACGCTTCTGACATGTGGCGATTTGAAGCGGAGGCGTACACTTCATCTTACGGCGCAAAAAGAGGCAAGGTAGGAATTGAAAAGAGAAAACATAATCGATGAAAAAAAGGAAAGTGAAAGGATGAAAAAAAGGAAAGTGGAAGATCGCATAAGATTGTAAAAGATCGAGATCTCTAAGTCGGTGCAAACCCAAAAAAATCAAACACCTACAGAGATTCAAACCAAGTAGAAGAAAAGAAGAAAAAACACTTGCGAACTGCGATTTTTTTTTTGTTCTGGTCATTAGGAGGCAACCTTTGTTTTTTCTGTGTCAATCGTCATCGCATGTACTTTATGTGACCGTTTCAGGTTTTCTCTTTTGGGTTTTTCTCTTGGATTTTGCCATCGACAACTGTAGTGGATAGGTTTCTGGGTTTTTTAGCTTCTGAACATTAAGAGATAAAGATAACACATCTAATAGCACTCACTCATAAAAGTTTCTTCCTGTTGCAGAAAAACCTTTTTTCTTCAAATTGTACATTTCTATTTTTATTTTTATTATTGATATTATTATTATTATTATATAAATAAAAAATATATGATCACTATATATATCATTTTGTGCAAGATCTTATAATGAAAGCAAAGAGCACTCTAAAGAATCCTGCGTATAAATACGTAATAAAAGATCTGTTGATGGTTTGGATGAAGATGAAGAAGAGTTTGTCTCAAAAAAACCAAGAATGAAGGATTCAATGGATATGTTTGTCACTCCTCAAGATAACCCAAAAAAGGATGGAATCAACAAAGTTGTTGACAAGAACATCCAACAAAAAAACTTGTAGAGTAATAGTTAGATTTTTTTACGATATGGAAATTTCATTCAATATAGTTAGTTATCCAAGTTTTACGGAGATGTACGAAAGTATCGGACAATATGGTCCGAGATTGAAAGCACCTAGCATTATGAATTAAAAGTTCCTCTTCTCACAGAGGAGGTAAGCGATACTGAAATGCAATTAAATGAGCACAAGAAGAAGTGTAAAGAGAAAGTTTGCTCAATTTTATCAGATAGATGACGTGATTGGATTGTTAACAAGGATATAATAAATTTTTTATTATCATCATTATTATTATTATTATTATTATTATTATTATTATTATTATTATTATTATTATTATTATTATTATTATTATTATTATTATTATTATTATTATTATTATTATTATTATATAAACAAAAAATATATGATCAATTATTTTGTACAAGATTTTATAATGAAATCAAAGAGCACTCCAAAAGATCCTGCGTATAAATACGGTATAAAATATCCTAACAACCGAAAGAATTTTACGTGTCGATTTTCTCA